GCCTGCTAGAAACTCGTCTTCTGCACGACTTGACATAAAATATTATAGAGCACTCGGTAATAAATTTCGTTTTCAACGAATGTGTGTACAAACCTCGCCTTCGGCTCGGCCTGTAAACTACACATTCCTTGAACACGAAATTTGTGCCCTTGCACTCTAATGTACTATTTTACCGATGCTGGGGATCGACCAGGGACTCTATGACTGCTAATCCTATGCCCTAACCACTACGCTATCGCGCTATTACTATTGAGTAAACTGTACATTGCCTATATGATTTGTATCGGGGTAGTCGTTGAATTTACAATTATTCCTGATCTCGCGGATGTGCGTGTGTATTCTCAGAGATAAAATATGTTCAATTAAATTTTTATTTATTTCATTAATGAATAATAATAATGATAATAACAATAACTCTAATAAATAAATAGATATTTGGTGATTTTTTTTCTGAAGATCATTCGCGGGTAAGTTTGATACTCCTCTAATACGTATTTACGGCATATCATCATCCCTCCCTTCTGTACATTTGAGAAGAGCTGGCTGTTAATTAAATTAATTAATTAAATTAGATTTATTAAATTAAATTCATTTAATTTAATTTATTTTAATTATAGTATAATGATCCTTTTTAAAGATTGAGAATAATTATTGATAATGGTTGATAAAACTTAATTTGAATAGTATAATAATAGTTAATTAAATTATCCGAAAAACTTATTAACATTAATGTCAGGTGGACCGGATCTGAATCTGATCATTTTCTCTTCAATTGACCCCGTTCAAATGCCGATCAAAGACATCAAATCCGAATTTGATCAAATTGGGTTCAGGCAGCCGACCTCAGGGTGAGATCGTGCTTACCTGATCAGAACTTGATCTGAATCATCCTGCAGTTTTTCGGATCCCATCTACTGGATCAAAACTTGGTCCGGTTCTCATCAGGCATCATCTGATCATGTCTACCTGATCAGGACTTGATCTGAATCCACCTGTAGTTTTTTGGGTCCGATCTGCTGGATCAGAACTTGGTCAGGTTCTCATCAGGAATTACCGGATCAGTCGAACCTTACAAAAACTTGATCAAGTTCTGATCGTGTTTCAGGTGGGCCTGAAGCAATTTCCACTCGGGTTTTTTCTCGAAATTTTCTTATAAGGGATCAATCGAATTTTATAAATTTCTTCACGAATATAGACTTTAATAAGCTCTATTCATTAACAACAATTTAAATTGAGTTTTTCTTACAAATCTGAAAAAAATATTTCCAAACACACATTTTTCAACGATCATTCAAAAAATTGTCAGCTATAATACCCCAAGACCGTCAAAATTATTGGATATTTCCTGAATGTTGTATTGCATAGCAACGAGAGGGATCAGTTTTGCAGATTAAAATCCCCAGCGCGCAGGACGTATTGTCGTACGTAATACCCCAAAACTTCGAAATTATCAGGTATTTCCCGATAGGTTCGTTGCAAACAAACGAAGGAGTCAATTTTTCCTGAAAAACTTGACGAGTTCGTTTGTATGCAGGAAACCTTGAGGAAAATATCGGATTAATTTTGAAGCTCGAATAGTATTCAGAAGAAAATGTTTCCATCCAAATTTCGGCCAAGAGAATTGCACTATGAGATAAAATTCATCTGTCAGTTCCAACCAGTCTCGCTCAAACTGGAAATCTTTAATGTTTCATATGAAGTATTCCATGCCAAATAAGTCAACGGCTGACGTTCACCCTTTTGGAACTTGATCTCGATTTTTTCTACGATTGGGGGGCTAGAAAAACTATCTCTCAATTTTTTTCAGATTTTTTCGACAGCCCATTTCGGAGATATGATTTTTTCTTTGATTTTTCGTTTTTTTCCAATAACTTAGGTTCTATTCAGTCGATTTCAATTTATGACACGTCAAAATTTTCGATTTTCTATCATCTATAAGAATATTTTGAGTAATTTTTTTTATTAACCCCTACACTTCACATTTGCAGAAACCATCAGAAAGCTCACTTTCAGGGAAATTCATGAAAAATTCAAAATTTCCAACAATCATCATAAAAATTAAATCAATCAATATAGCTATCGTAATCATTTTTTAACTTCGACTTAATGGCATCAAAACAAACATTTCCATTTCAAACTTTACCACACACCTACATGTATACACACATACAGGCGTACTGGTGTATTAGCAACAATTACAGGACTCATTTATTTAAAAAATATAACTGTCCACTTGTTTTTCGTTAAAATCGACATTTCAACTAATCAATAACATCTCGTTCGCATTAACGATTCCAATTGAATTGAAACAATTACCCAGCAAGCAACTCACAGAGACAATGATAGTTGCGGATAATGTCACTAATATTAGTCACCTAGTTTGTGTAATAGCCTTGCTATTGCGACTGAATATCCAATTAATCGATGAATAATTTTTCATTATGTACTTGGCGTCAGGTGACCTCTTCCCAGTGAATTCATTCATTCCCGAGTAATTTAAATGGAAATTCGATGTTATTAACGCACAGTCATTGATTTTTTGGTCCAATTATAGAACTCCAGCCTCCCAAATAGACGAATATTTTGAGCCCTTGCAAAATTAACCAATACTTCTATTTGTTTAGCTGAAACTCAACTCGGCCGAGATGCTATATTGGAATTCCGTACCCTTCACGTAGGTGGCTATCTTCATCCTGGTGAGGATATGCCCCATTTTGTCGGTCAGCTACAGCAGGTATGGGTCAACGGACATTCATACCTCGAAATAGCCCGCAGTACAGGAAATCATCAGAGCACACATCAGGGTGTAACACCGATTATAAGGGTGACTGGTAAATTTGGTAAACGCAATCATCCGGTTCATCATCCAGTTACTTTCACATCGAAACATACATTCGTTGGATTGCCGGTTTTGAAGGCCTATGTTGAAACGAATATATACTTCCAGGTCAGTAAAATCATCTCCAATTATTTAAGAAAATGACATTGAATCAGTTTAAATTCTAAAAAATTATATTAAAATCATATATCGTGAAAAGCTGCCTTGTAAGAGATCGATGACAGTCACCTCAATTATTCATTTTTGCTGCACTTTCTTTATTCCATGGGCAAAATGATTTTATCTCGCTTCAAGAAACATTGCAAATTCGATAGGAAATTCTATTGAAGGATTCCGCAATTTTATTGCGCGCTTTTTTTTCATAGAAAATGCCTAGTGGAAACTAAATAGAAAAAAAAAGAGAATTTCATCTTTCTACACTCCTTTTTCAATTGAGACATTTTCTATAGAAATTCCTCGATGATTTTACTAAGTTTTTTCAACTCTATTTTATTTTTACCGGAATTCGTTGCAAGCCCCAGAACTTGCAACTGGCCATCGCCCGAGGGCCTTCAGCCAGGTATTAAGAAAGTGGTATAAAATCATTAGAAAACAAAGTGAATATAGTTATAGGTTTACAAAAAAAAGATAGATAAGTTAGAAATTTCCGGCGAGGAATTTGTATTGGAAAATATTTTAATAGAATGAGCTGTATAGATAAATCGGATTCTATTGAATTTTTCTACACTGAAAGAAAAAGAGTGAAGTTCTCAAACAAGTCTTACTCATGGGGTGTATGGCCGGGTCGGTAAGAGTCCGCCTACAAAGCCAAAGGTTCTGGGTACGCAACTTGGCACCGGCAAATTATTTCTGGATTATCTGATTTAGTCAAATAATATAAGGACACCATTAAGAATGTTTGAAATAAAACTACTAAATACCGAGAGCTAACAGAATTGAGCAGCCGAGAGGACAATCTTACGGAAAATGACCAAGATAAGACACCCCGACAACCCACTTCACAACCCCTCGAATACCCTACTCTACGAACCCGGGTACTCTACGAGCGCACCCAAATAGAATCCATCACAGACAGACTCAAAAAATTGACAACAATTTTCGCCCTTAACCTTTCAAGTACGGCGCCCATATCGCGCGGTGTGTCCTCATCAGCCAGCGGCCACCCGTCTACTCCAATTCGCTGTTCAATGCACAACAATTTCTACACTGATGATCAAAACATTATCATCTAAAATTTAATGATAATTTTGAGCTTTCACCAATAAGTTGTTCAATTACGGTATTCCTTTATACACATTTTTCTGGAATTTTTAAGACTAATCTCAGTTTGATAATACAAACGGTTGCCCAAATCGGCGATTGTCGGAAATTTGTGAATAACAAATCAGTAATTCATTGAATCGAAATTTTGTTTGCGCCATTCCACAAAGCAATGTATAGAGTATGTTCGGTAAAAATTTCAGAATTTTTTATGAAAATTAGCTCGATAAACGAGAGGTTTGAATATGCATCTGACATCAAATTTCGTTCCGTATTGTTTATGTATTGAAGAAAAATACTAAAAATGACTTGAAAACAAAATCGCGTCGCATTGTGCTGGTTCTCTACTTTCTTTCTCCATTTTCATCAAACCCTTCAAATTGTTTCACTCGCATCCCATACTTTCCAATGTACAAGAAATCCCTATTTACCTCTTTTTGCGTTCAGTTCTCTATTGTCACGTATGAAAAAATTAGGATTTCCTATAGAAAATCCTATGGAGAATTCGAACATTTCCTACATGTCCTATAAAATGTAGGGGCATAAGGGTTACCATGAGGGTCAAACGTGTCATATGGGGGTCATATATGGGTCCTAAAGGGTCATATTACAGTTATTGAAGAGTAATATGGGGATCAATGAGGGTCATATAGAGGTCATATGGGGGTCATTTGGGAATCATATCAGGGTCATATGCGGTCACATAGGAGTTACGTGGAGGTTATATAGGGATTATATGAGCATCATATGAAGGTTATTTGATCCTCATGAACCTCCTATGCCCTTTGTATGACTCGTATGTCCCCATGTAACCCTCATGTGACTCTTATATAACCCACACATGACCCTTATATGACTCCCACATGATCCCCATATGACCCCCACATAACCTTCATATGACCTCTATATGACCCGCATATGATCTTTATATGATCCGATATGACTCTTTTGACCCTTATGACCCTAAATTTCATAGAAAATCCTATTGAAAATCTTGAAGAATAGCATATAAGAAATCCTTTAGGAAATCCTATCTGAAAAATCCTATAGAAAATGTTCGAATTCTCCATAGTATTTCCTATAGGATATCCTGTGGAAATTCTATAGGATTTTGTCATACGTGGTACACTGTACATTATCATAACATTCAAGCAAATATATCTGTAGATACCAGGCTGAAAGCCTTCAGGCGATGGCCAGTCCCAAACCCCTTGCGGCAAATCACGTTAAAAAAATTAATAGAATTGAGCATATTCGAATCATTTACATACAACCTACAGTTTCACGTATCTCGAGAACCTAACTGACTACAGTTGATTTTCACCATCGTGTGTAATTGCATTCTGATCATTCACTTGAAATACTCACAAAGCGGTATTTTTTCACTGAATTACATTTCACTCTACGATTACCTTTCGTAGAGTAACATTAGCCTCGATTTTCTAGGTAATTTTTATCCAACTGTTCTCTCCGTGTGGTAATAAGAAGTTATGGGTCAGTATAAATTGAAGTGTCAATACCAAGTGGCCCATGTCTTTCCTTTTATTGTTCGCTGTATTATGATAATGTGAAATCAATGAAAGTGATTGTCTCTATTAATTCATTACTAGATCAGTTTATACTATTCTATTTTATTTTATTTTATTTTCATTTCATTTCCGTCTTCACAATTGGATTAATTTAATTTTCGCTATTCTTATTTTTATTATATATTATATATGCACAAGTTAGAGTATTGAATAAAGAGTAATTATTTTAAAAATCAATGAAAAGTATTTTTGTATGATCAAAACGAACACAAAACAAAAGTCATTCTAAACGTCATTCGGGTAATATAAAAATCTCTCCATGTAGTCCTGAAAATTTTTTAAATCTATTTTTCCCTTCATATGGTAAAAGGATATCGGTACTCTTCATTCCTATGGCCGGATTCCAATTATTATGATGAAAGGGAAATGAAAAAAGGAATTAGAAAGGAATAATCGGCTAGAAAATGGATTTTTTTTTCTTTTATGTCAGCGGGAACTTCGAATCATTTTTTTTCTTCAAATATTAGAAGAATATCAATTTTTCAGTGAGAACAAATTTAAAAAAAACTTTTCAATGTCTCCGGAAAGTTTTAAAATCGATTTTTTTTTAAGTAATGAAAGAATACCTACAAACTCGATTCCTTCGCTTGTCTTTGATAGGATGACTAGAATTACACGAATGTCAATGAATTGCAAAAATCACGATTTGGGGACTAAAAATGTTCTGCCGACGACGGTGGCCGAAGCGGTAAATCGCTCGGCCGGACGGCGGCACCCGTGAGGCGCGGGTTCGAGTCCGGCTTGGGCAATTGCGATTTTTAATCTTTCGGAAACCGTCGAACGGAAATCTAGATACCGAGAATCATCGGAGAATTGTTAGGAAAACATTCTTCGATGAAGCTCGGTCGATGGACGCCCGTGTCGACCAAGGTTTTTTTCATAGTTTCCCTTGGTCACAAGGAGAGTCTGTACGTAGGGTACAGCTCCTGGGGTACAATGCGACACGGTTGGAGAGAGGAAGTCAGTCGGCCCATGAAACCGCAAATATGTAAAAATCCGAATAGGGTATATATGGCAAGGAAAATAAAAGACTAAAAATGTTATGGGATTATTATTATGTAATTAGCAATTCATTCATTTACTCATTTCCAATTTATTCGAAAAATAATTATCAAAACACGACTAAAACCAGATGTGTCACTGACTAACCTATAGGGTAAAAGCATTCATAATCAGGTCGGTTTTAGATCTCTTATAACTATAGTTGAATTTTACTACCACAAACCGACATAAAATCCGACCGAGAACGAACGAATTGGTAGAGTATACGATGAAATGTTAAGTATACAATGAAATTTTTCGACTCGGGTCGATTCGCTAGTCAAACTAATTTATTCGGGTGATGATCGATGCCGCCACGCTTGTCAAATATAGGTCAATCAACCTGACTTGACCCAATTTATTATGATGAAATATAAAAATCCCGAAAAAATAATATTTTTCAATAACGATGTATTCTTTTCTATAATAGTTCAAAACCAGAGAAACAAATGGCCTGATTTTGTTCAACGCCGGCCGCGAGCGTGATTTCATAGCTGTTGAATTGGTTAGTGGACACATACATTATGTCTTTGATCTCGGTGATGGACCAATTCGCATCAGAGATTCATCAAGGTCACGTCTCAATGATGGAAAATGGCATGCTGTTAGCATCGGCAGGCCAGCACCGAAGCGACACACATTGGCGGTAGATGATCACGTCAATGCAGTTAATAGCCAAGGGAGCAATGAAAATTTGGATCTCGACGGTATACTGTACATAGGTATGTTCCATCAAAGTGAATCAATTCCATTTTTTAGTCAGTTCAAGTAAACAAATGAACATCCTTCGGCTATTTTCCCAAGAAAATTAAACAATTATGATCAAATAGTGGAAATGTCTGTGGAAAAGTCAAAAACTATTTTTTACGTTTTGATGAGTTATTTTTCAACCAAAAGAATTAATTCTATAATAAATATTATAAACTAGAGGGCTTCGCCCCCTGCTCGCTGCACTCGCCAACTCCGGGTGGGCTGCGCCCACCCCCCCCCCCCCGCTCGCTCGTCCCCAATCTTNCCCCCCCCCCCCCCCTCGCTCGCTCGTCCCCAATCTTCATGGGTATGTTTAGGTATTGTATTATATAGAAGAAAAAATTCGTGGAATGGTTTACCTCCTTTGGAAAATTGAGGTTTTGATTATTGGTAATGATAAATCTGATTTAATTCAATTTTCATCAAGCTATAGCAGATTGTTTCCATTTTTTACATTACGTCACACCTCAAAAATGATAGTTCTTACCATTTATCGAGACTTTAGACTTGACCAGCGGAGGTATATCATGTGTCAATTTCAAGGTCTCATCGAGTTCCTCAAATTGAGACCCCATATTATCCACTCCACCCACTAGATCAATTGTCATACGCAATAATATAGCGATTTTAGCATGTCACGTTTTGAAAATTTCCATGTTTCAACTTCCAATGACGAGATTTGTTCACTTTCTGTTCAAATCTGTAGATATCTTATGCCCAGGTGATAATATATTAAATTACCTTGAAATTGGCTCTTGAATTATTTGACCAAGGCTAATTTTCCTTGCCAGATGAGAGTTTTCGTCCAAAAATTCAATTTCATGATGTTTATTGTAAATTCAGCGTGGTTTGAATTTTTCTATAACTATTGATCAAGTGAATGAGTGTGAGTGCTATTCATATACCATTTCAAAGGGTATTTGTTGTTATAGCACGGGAAAATCAGGGCAATTAGAATTTAAAAAATTGGTTTGGGTTGTTGGTCGCTCGCTAGCTTCGCTCACTCCCATTACGGGTGGGTTGTAATTCGACGGGGTTTTTGGTCGCTCGCTGCGCTCGCTCCCATTGTGGGAGGGTTGGAGTGGGTGTGACCCATCACGGGTCGAACCAATAACTTCCCGACCGATTCCCATTTGTCTGTTTATTAAAACAAAAAACTTAATTTTCGAAATTTTCATCTTGATAACTAGAAAACGGTTGAGACGATTTTACTCAGCAGTCAATTTAAATTGAATCACATATAGTTGCATCGATCAGATGAGCATCGGATCGATCAGATGAGCAACAGATTCCATCGTTTTTCTATGTAAAATTAGTGAATTTTCGAGGAAAAACTTATTTTTGTTCATTTTTGTCACATGTCTTATGCGAATCACTAACAGACCGCTGAGTCGATCATTCTCCTAATCGAATTAGTACTAAGTTCCATGAACACGCATCGATTGAAAAAAAGAAAAAACGCCCCAAAAAGAAGAAACGCAATTTTTGAAAATTCTATCCAAGTTAATGACCAACTGCGGAGGCAATCTTCATCATGGATATTCAGTCAGTCTCGAATGATATGGAAATCCAATTGTTGATATAAAAAAAGAAAAAAAAAGAAAAAATAAGGACATCTATCTTATCGACTGTCAAGTGGATATCACAATTCTGACAATTTCTTGAAATATTTTTCTTTATGGCATGCCGTGCAATAAGTCGAGTTTATCGCACGCTGCGCTTCGTACAGCGTGCTTCAAACTCGACTTCTGCACGATGTGGCATAAAATAGTATAGACCACTCGGGCATAAACTTCACATTCGTCAAAAACGAAATTTGTGTTCTTGTACTCTAATGTACTATAAATTGTCCTCGACATTATTTTGTGAAATAATTAAAAAAGATAAAAATGAAACCACTATAAAAAAAACTCCAAAAAATTCGAATCCAAAAATTAATTTTCCTATAACTCCAAAACCGTTGAGACGATTTCACTGGAATTTGACTCAAGCCTTAGTCATACCGAGCTGCATCGACAATGACGGCAGAAAGTCAATCCCATCGTTCTTCTAGGAGAAATAATGAAATTTTTGAAAAAACGTGATTTTTCGACGTTTTTTCACTAGTTTTATCGGAAAATCTGAAGAACTGCTGAGACGATGTTGTTCAAAATGTAATCAGTTCTAAGTGACATGAGAACACGTCGATTGCGTGGAAAAAAATTTCAATCGAATCATTCGTTTAAAAGAAATCGTTGACCAAAATATTGGTCACATACGCGCACATACACACACACACACACATACACCCATCCAAAAACGTCATAGAATTTTTCCAAGGGTCATGAAACATGCAAATATGATGAAATATCCACATTCGATTTTCGGGGTCATTACAATAACTTCCTCCCTACGGGTCGGGAAGTTAAAAATTACGACATATATTGATCTCATGCAACCAGGCTAGCGCGTGTGCCACCTAGTGTCCAAAAAATAAAGCGTGAAGTAATTGTTGAATGCTCCCCTAAGAATCAAATGATGAATTGAATGTCTTATATATTTCCATTCACCGCGAGAGCCTTTTTTTCACTTTTCGATTATTTATTTTCATCAAAGACGACCGCACAGAAAGAAAAATTCAATAAAAATTATCAAGAAAAAACGTTACCGGAAAACGATTCCCCATTATCGATTACGTTAATTGTTCCGTCATTTTTACTGAATATTTCTCTCCGTACGCATGACACAAAAATGAAATTTTCTCAACTTCTAATCGTGATAACGTGGAACCTATTAAATTTAAGAACATCGAACTCCATACTGAATGAGAGAAATATTCAATCTATAAGATGAAATTATTCCCACTTTTTTGGCATTTCATTTTGCAATACTACAAACCGTCAATGTTTGGCGACTGCACTTATAAAATAGCTAGTAGGTACCGTCCATCAAAGTGATTTAATTCAATCCCTCAGTCGGTTAAAACAAACAGATTGACATTCTTCACTGTGCGGTAACGCATTCCCTCTTTATTTCGATACGTATCCGTCCTGAAACTGCCATCAACAATGTACAACAACATTTCCACAACAGAATTTACCCTCATTCAACATTGTCCAATTCTGTGAGTTCAATTTGACGACACGACAGGACATCTGTGGGTTTCCTTTTACGCCCTACCAGCTCAATTCTACGGGCCGTCACACCACTGAATTCGGTTTAAACTATATGGATTGTACGGATCATTGTTCGTTTGGATTCCCAATGCCAGTTGACGAGCGGTTTTCACAACAAAATGCTCAACTGCATTCCTCTAATTGTGGAAAATTTCAACAATCCATTGTACTGACATTTGCAGACTACAGTATTATTTTCAACGAATGATATGGTTGTGGATTTAACAATGAAAATACATCTCGCATATTTTAATAACCATCCATGTTAGTGGATTTTGCATCTGAATGGGAACTTTGTTATCTTCATTTTTGAGTCTTTTATGTTATATCAGCTTATTATGATCCAAAAACCCGAAAATACAATTTTTAGACCTGTTACTAAATTTAAGGTTGTTTAACCTATCAAGTGGACAATTCAGTTGAAACGAAAAATAAAAGTGACTAAATAAATCGTTCATGTTATAAATTATTTTTCTCATCAAATTAGAAGTGTTATGGCGTACTTTTCCGGTCTCAAAAACAATAATTAAAGGAAATGTTCATCAATAATGGAGGACTTTTTACTGCAATGATAACAGTCGAATTTTAATCGGGCAACATCGCATGCTTCGGCTAGTAGTGGGGTTGTAACAGTGAGATGAATGTGCGTTTGTGTGTGTTATACGTATCCATATGCATCCAGCCCTGAATTATCGTTGCCGACTTTACCGACCTCGATCAGTTGTTGCGCGGTATTGTCGCGTTCCTCGACCCGTAATGGTGGTCGATTTTTTTTAGAGGAATTCGAAAATCAATCGAAGATATCACGCCTATATGGCCCTCGTGACCCTTACTTGTTTTCGTCGGCGATAGATGATACATAGTCTAAAGTAAATGGCTTGTGGTTTTTTTTCAATATCTTTAGTATCTCACCCATGCAACATCTCGATCAATGCTCACACGATAACGTTTCTTCCCTAATCATAATGTTACAAGAAGTGATTTGCAAAAATTAATTTCTCACTAGGATGCGCCGATGGAAGGATTGATATTATTACTAACGTGTTGCTCAAATATGAACTTGACATATGAAACAATATCAAAATTATGGTGAATAATGTGGGTTTTGGCTAAACATCCTTAATTTTCGTTCAAATGTAGGTTTTGTTGAACCCTATTCATCGACCTCAATTAAAATTCAATTCATACACGAATTTTTAGAATTCCCTCAAAAATTGATTGAGCGACAATAAATAAATAAAATGGTCTCAATTAATTGAATAATGGCTTAAAAAATTATTTCCATGCTCCATTGACCGAGTTCGAAGCTGAAGATGATAGTAATAATCGTTGTTTTCATTTATAGAATAATTTTCAAAAATTTCGTATTTTTTGAAAATGAGAATTCCACAGATATTTCTGGATGTGATGCTTCAAATCAATTCAATTATACTTCAACATATTGGTTTCAAGGCCACCCTGTCAGAGTTAGATGACCATTTCGATAGCTATATCCGTTGGTGTGATTTCTCTGATGGGTTTTACAAATTTCGCATTTTTCTCAAATTTCCCTGAAAGTGAATTTTCCGACGATTTCGTCAAATGTGATTCTTTCTGTAAATATGATCGAAGTTTCTACATAATACAAATAGCATCATTGTTTCATTTGATTTATACAAAAATTTTCACAAGAAGCTAACACAATTGATTGAGGAAGAAATATAATTCAATTTAACGGAATAATATAAAACGACAAATGATATACAATAGAAGAGTATGATGTGCAAAATGATCATTCGGAAACATATCGCTAATTTATTAGCAAAAGTAGCAAATGGGATGAAGACAAAAGCAATTCCCCACTTGTTTTTCGTGGATCCATTGTTTTATTATTGCTATAAATTTAACAAGAACGGATTTTCAAAATTAATTATCGAACTAGTGAAAAGGGTTTCCGTCATGAGTAAATAAATTAAATTCACTAAATAAATATGAGATTTTCTGATCTATTAAATGTCACAATTTAATATTCACTAGCTACTGTTAATAAGAGATATTAATTATAAAGTAATTGAGGCATAATAAATGGATGATCCATTTCGACAAAGTTATTTCACGGCAGCTCCAATTTACCTCATTAATCATAAAATGTTCACTAATGATGGAGTGGTTGAAGGCAACGTCCATTGGTCAGAGATTTGCATGGCACTATTGCCGGATACGATGAAGCACAAATCCCAGAGATGAATTTTGGTAGAGAGACATTAACTCGCGCCGATCATGAACTCTATTCCCCAATTTTCACATAATCTACATGTTGATTGCAAACGAGAAAATTAGTTGCAATCAACACTTCCTTACAATTTTTCAATTTCCAGTTGATGATTTCAATCAAACGTTTTCCATTGACCAGCCTTCGAAAAATGGTTCAGAAGTGGATTAGTTTTTTAAGGATGTTTAGCCAAAACCCACATTAGTCACCTTAATTTTGATATTGGCTCCTATGCCAGCTTCATATTTGAGCCACATGTTAGTAATAATCTTAATCCTTTCATCGGGGCATCCTAGTGAGAAATTAATTTCTGAAAATAACTTCTTGCAATATTATGCTTAAGTGTCTGTGTCTGTGGTGCTGTTGGGTCTTTATAAAAAAATAAAATATAAGGAAGAAACGTGACCGTGTGAACTTTGATCGAAATGTTGCATGGGCTAGACACTCAAGATATTGAAAAAAAGGACGCTTCAATACGCACCTTTGTTATCACGGGTGGATTAGTTTTTTAAGAATGTTTAGCCAAAACACACATTAGTCACCATAATTTTGATATTGGCTCCTATGCCAGCTTCATATTTGAGCCACACGTTAGTAATAATCTTAATCCTTTCATCGGGGCATCCTAGTGAGAAATTAATTCCTGAAAATAACTTCTTGCAACATTATGGTTAAGGAAGAAACGTGACCGTGTGAACTTTGATCGAAATGTTGCATGAGTTAGACACTCAAGATATTGAAAAAAAAGAACGCTTCAATACACACCTTTGTTATCACGGGAGGAAGATTCTGTCCAAATTTCAAGTCGATATCTCGATTTTTGCACACGTTAGCGCACGTACAAGGATTTTAATGAAAAAACAGAAAAGGGGAAATATCTCAACAACTTTGAATGGACGCGTATATATGTTTTTATTGATTTAGTAGAGGACATCGAGACGAATATTTTGAAAGAAAAAAAATCTAAATCGGTCCAAGAATTTTAAAGATATTCGTGAAAAACGATTTAAAAACGAATCGCTTTATCTCAAAAATTACTTGACCGATCAGGCTGAAATTGTGCACCGAGTTAGTCCTTATTAAGACCTACAATCTGACAAAATTTCAATTTTGTTTGAATTATTTTAGCCACTTCATTACTCAATTTTCTAAAAATTAATCATCGAGAAGGTGGCGGTGGACATATTCACATACAGACATGGTCGCCAAACTTCGTATTTTTACGTTTCAGACCATTCTACATCATTTCCAATGAAAATTAGGGAATGTGAAAATCCGACGATTACAAATCTCCCATTCGGGAGCAAAAGGTGAACTCAAAATACACTCACTCGATAATGAACTCCCGAGTCTAGTGCATTCTCGGTTTTTATCCAAAAACCGCGGCACACCTGGATTGCCTCGATTCGTCTTTGTATTCGTATTACAAAACTGTCTCGTGTTGTAATATGATGCTGAGTCGATCAACACCTAATTTCTTTACAATTATACAATGGAATATTCTGGGGTACAGCATTTCCAATGACATAACACTAAAATACATGCAAACCCCTATGAAATAAAATACCACACAAATATAAAACAGAAGTATTGAAAATAATAATTAAATTCTCTTTTAATCATCTTCCTTTCAAACTGAAATGCCTTATTGAAATATATATTTCGCCGTTCACTCAACCCTGTTTGTTGTGACGAGTGAATAATGGAGTGAATGAAATTTCCATGATATTAAAATGACGTAACAATTTCAGGTGGAGTGGAGAAGAGTCAGTACGCTCAATTACCGAGCCCCATAGTGAGTCGTCAGGGCTTTGAGGGATGTCTAGCGTCACTTGACCTGAGTGGCGAGAGTGTTGACCTCATGTCAGATGCGGTTGTAACAAGTTCACTGGTGGAATCAGGATGTGATGTTTACGCTAATATGCATTCTGGCAAGAAATGTACACATGACATTTGTGCTAATCATGGAGCCTGTGTGCAGCAGTGGAACAGCTACACTTGTGACTGTGATATGACGAGTTTCGGTGGACCAACGTGTAATGACGGTACGATAATTAACATGTTCATTCCGAATAGATAGTTTATGGAATGCCATTTCACGTATTATCAACGTCTCAGTGTCGATCAACTTTTTATGAACTTGATGTTGATTTGCAGAAGCCGTTGCCTATGAATTTGGACCAGGAAGAGGATTAATTACCTATACATTCCCGACTGATCGTCGTCCTGAAATGAAACGAGATACTGTAGCTCTAGGGTTCGTTACAAGCACTAATGACGCTGTGCTCCTGAGAATGGAATCAGCGACGAGTAATGATTATCTGGAAATTGAAATTGTTAGTACATAAAATTCGCGGATTCATTTTTTATAAATACACAGCGAAAAAACATCAGGAAAAATTACGTGACGAAATGTAAGAGTGATACGAAATCCTCTTTCAGGAATTTTTACGTAAAAACTGGAGAAAAATTTGACGTGAGAAATAGATTCACTTGAGTTTGAGAAATTTTATGAATTGAAACCTAATTTTTACGTAATTTCCATAGTACTTTTTCTGCAAATTTTCCCCATGTATATCATCAACATCAACATTCAAATTTTGTCCAAAATTGTGACTCGGAAATACTGATTACGACCCCAATTTTGTTTTTTTATTTAAATCTGCAACTTTTTTCCGACAATAACAGATGAAATGCAATGTAGAGCTGTTCAAAAAACAGGAAAACAGAGTAACAGTACTATTTCAATAAATTCCAATGAAAAAATTACAACTTATAGCAGAACAAAAACCTCGTAATTGTGTTTCTGAAATACCAATACAAATTCTACATAATAGAAGTAGTATTTTGCCGGGCTCGCCTTGGGCTGGGACGCCTACCCTACACGAGTAAAAAACTCCGTCGCAACAGCCCGGGAATAGGAGGTTTCATCGTTAGGCCTATAAAGTATTTTCTGACGAATGTGAGTTTATAATCCCAGCCGAAGGCGAGGACGAATGTGATTATAATCCGAGCCGAAAGCCATCCCATTCGTCAGAAAATACTTTGTGGGCCGGGTGATATAAAGTTTTTCTTGACACTGCTGCTACGTTCACCTCGTGCCGAAAAGTGCCTTTTCGTTTACTCGTACACAGAGAAATATCGTCATGATATCACAAAACTAATTTCTTGCGCCAAATATCTCATTTCTTGAGGATAAATTTCTTGGGTAGAAAGTTTATGCAGGGGAAAACCTCGAGATATTAAAATAGTATATTATGTCACCGGGCGATAAAAGTATTATCTGGCGAATGTGGCATTATGCACACAACACATAATCACATTCGCCAGATAATGCTTTTATCGCCGTGTGGCATACGATATTTTATGTCGTTGGGCCCGAAAACGGCGATCTAACCGAGTGAACGAGGTTAGAATCGCAGTTTTTTCGGGCCTAACGACATAAAAATATAACCGTCGCTTACGCTCAATCCCAGGTAGGACTCGCCGAGCTTCAACAACCGTCCCAACTTGGCTCAACCTCGACTTGCCGAGTGTTGGTAGACAAGCATGGGCCATAATTTAGCCAATGGTTAAGCCAGTGTTCAGCCAATGGCGCATCGTGAGCCTTGGTTACTAGGGTCGGACCAAGCATGGACGAAGACTGTCCACCGACGCTTGGTCAATGAGGGGCTACCAACCTTGGCCCAAGCTTGGTGGCCAATGAGTAGCCAGAATCGACAGACTTTCATTGGCGGCCATTCCTGGTCCAAGCTCTATTAGCCCGTCTTCGGCCAAGCATCGGGTAGCACAGCCTTCATCCAGCATTGGTCCGACGTAGCCAAGGTTCAAGCTCTACCACTGACTGACGACTGGCTCAGCCACTGGCTGAATTATAGTCCACGCTTGTCCACCAATGCCCGATGAGTCAGGGTTGAGCCAAGCTTGAACCAGCTGTTGAGAAGAGGGGGAGGGAGGCGTATTTGTAAAAACTCTCAGGATTAAAGGAAGGGGGAGAGGACAGAATAATAATAATAATAATAATAATAATAACAAAAATCGAATTTCCAAGTATAATGAAAAATTGAAAATCTGGGTTCATCAACAATATTCAGGTGGGGGGAGAGGGGAGGTATTTTTTCACACCCCTCGAATAACCAGGTGGATAATAAATAATGAAATCGAAATTAATTCCGATTATATTTAAAAACTCATTCAGCAAAGAATGAAATCGAGATAGAATTCATATACGGACGATTTGAGTCAACAGTAATAAGAATTGCGCGGTAGACTAGGGGTTAAGGCGTAGGACTAGTGATGTTAGGATCGTGGGTTCGAAACCGGCTCGGGATGGATTATTTTAAATTAACAAATTAGGGATTTTCACTGAAAGATGCGTTAGGGGTGGGTGATTAGAAGATAATCAATCATAAAAATGAATGAAAATTATTTTTGATTTTTTTAAACATTTAAATCAATATACATTAGTCACGGCTAACGACTGGCGACCGAGTCAGGCCCAGTCTTGGTAGCCAAGAATGGCCCAGCGTTATCATTTCGGTGCTCAACCAGCCTTGGGCCAGCCTTGGACGCCTATATTGGCCCGTGACTGGCTAAGGTTGAGCCGCGCTGGGACCATTTGTTAATTCCTACCTGGGATCGCTTTAAGTTCGAAGGAAAGCCATATCTTCTTTTTCTTCTGTCAAACTATTTTTGTCTTTTAAGGAATGTTATCTCATTTCGAAAAAAGACATTACCTTTTCATTCAGTAATTTCCTCCTTAACCCGAAGAGCACCGATTGCTGGCCTGAAACCTACCGTAAATTGATAAAATATGTATGCCATGTTCTTCGCTCAAGAAATGATTTTGTGATATTATGTCGATTTTTCTCTTAGTCTAAATGAAAAGTCTTTTCCTTACTCCTCAACTTCTCCTAGCCGTAACGGTCATCACAACAGTTTAAACGAATGTATCAAAAAGAAAGAGTTATAACCAAACAATTCTCTCTGTGCCTCGGCTTCGCCTCGGGCCGCCAGCTTCACACTCGTGGAAATTCCGTCTCACTTGTATTGAAATATACTATTTCGGCATGACGTGAACGTAGCAGCAGTGAAAATAGTATATTTCGTAACGAGTGCAAAAACATTTTTTCACGAGTTACGAACAATATTTTTCATCACAATGTGGCGGAAATTGGACTTTTAGGCACGCGGAGCGTGCCGAAAACTTCACTTTTCGTCACAGCGTGGTGAAAAAATATATAAAAATATGGACTGCCTAGATTTGATGTTGGAAAAAATTCAGTAAAAGGTCCAAATTAATGAGGAACCTCATTCAAGAGAAAAATTAGAAACTAATTAATACGTGCTCTTACGCAAAATGTCATAAACAAATCTTAAAGTTCGCCAACAAAACTTTGAAAACTATAGAATTGTTTTAGACTCGCATGTTTTTGTAATTGAATTATTTTCAACCAATATTACGAAAAAATGTAAGTGTAGTTCGTTGTCAGAATTTCAATTTGAGAGAGCTAAAATGGACTGTAATACCGAAACAGCCTAAATTATCAAAAATATTACCTTCATACATTCCTCCACCAGTCTAAAAAATTGCAAATTTTTTCTCGAACGCGAAAAAATTCTACAGCGAAGCAGCAAACGAATAGTGCATTTTCCGCTTGGAGTAAAAAATACCATTTTTTGGGAGGACCAAAAAACTTATTATCTTTCTCGTTATCAGTCGGTGGGAATGAGAATTTAGTTTTCGAAAACAAAATCAACTTGAACCGATTCACCGTTCTGCTGCTTAATGACATTTTCGAAAAATGGATAAACATCCTCAATTCAATTCTCTCGACAAAATGCCACCCGAATATATCGATCGTCCCGCATAATGTAAACTTCCACCGCCCTATTAACACTGTTCATTGAAACATCCCCACGAGACTATTCGCCTCATTAAACCCAATATTTTTATTGAAACACCGAATATCACGTGTACTATTTTATTATCGTCATATTGTTTCGTAACTGTATTACAAACTCTACCGATGCGATAATCAATTCCCTGGTCTATTTATCCACAAAATATTCGTACCAGTGCTGATATATAACCATCAGCCTATCAGATTGCCTATGCATTAGGGTCTTTGAGTTAAATCCCAGGACTAATACCGTATGATCGATTATACAATCGTGATTCAATTATTTCCATTGAACACTCAGTGCACGGATGGTTTATTTTACTAATAGAGGTATAACACTAGAAACACATAATCAAGTACACCTCCAAGGAATATTGTGCCCTGTACGGAGAGAAATATTCTGTAAAAATGACGGAACAATTCACGCAATCCGCAATGGGGAATCGTTTTCCGGCAATTTTTATAGGAATGGGAGAGAAGAAATCTGAAACGTTCAATGAATTTTCAGGTTCATCACCGAACAAAGAACGAAATTGTCACGTAATTTTTTCCGAAGAAGTAAAATCTTACAGAAACTTCGCGACTTATTATGCCTCCAAAATCAAAAATTCTTGAACGTTCAACAATTTTTATGAAGCTAGTGAGTTATTTCTACATTCCGTTCCATAAAATTTCTCAATCATTGGAGAAAAATTACGGAACGACTTATTGTCCCCACAGCGGTGAATCATCAGACGGCTGGTTAATTTTTACGGAACAAATCGTAGAATTTACGTGGTGATTCGTACAATTTCAATTCCGACTCACAATTTTTATTGAATTTTACTTCGCTCGCGGATTACGTTCCGAACCATATTTTTTGTTTTTTTTCTGGTAATTTTCATTGAATTTTTTTCTCAGTGTGCATGAAATCAATGGAAATTTATATTTTTCAGGTCGAAGGAAATGTTTTCGCTGTTTACAATATGGGCACTAATGATCATCCAATCGGCGAAGTTGGGGTTAAAGTCAATGACAACCAGTATCACGTTATCAGGTTTACGAGGAATGGAGCCAACAGTACATTACAAATTGATGATTATAATGTGCAGTCCAATCATCCGTCCGGTGAGTTATATTTTTTTCTTGTTCTTATTTCAGAAGAATGCGAGGATTTACGACGTAATATATTGGGCTTTTATGAGAATGAGTTTCATCCGGAAAAGAATTACATGAAGCAAGGGGTCATTCTTCATTATTAGATTTTTAAGAATATACGAGTGTTTTCACCAATTATTGGTATGGTTTTGTACCTTCAAAAATTGAATTTTGTCACAATAAAAACGCATGTCTGAATTTCATACACCTTTTACAGACTTGTTTCAGACACTAAAATACGTCTGAATAAAATGAAAATTTGTTTGAATTTCAAACTAAAATTAAGATGTTTAGACATCTATTCGCCTGAAATTCAGACAAATTTTCATTTATTCAGACGTTTTTAGTATTTGAAAAATGTCTACAAAAAGTGTGTGAAATTCAGACATTCGTTTTTGCTGTGGTTGATGCTTCCTATGTGGCTTTCTCATCATTCGAAAGGTCTCTAATTTTTCTTTTAATTTTATGACGCTCACAACGTTAATTTTTTAATTTTGTAAGTTTTTGATAAAATTTTGGGTGTCAGCAGAGGTCAATTTTTTATCGCGTTTTTAATATTTCCGACGGAAAATTTCCGTTCTTTTGATTAAGCATTGTGTCAAGTAGCTCATATCGTCAGAAATGCTTTCACATTGCCAAAAAACTATAAAATTGGGTGCTTCCCTCGCTTCGATTGAAGATTTTTTCCTTTCCTCACCCAAAGTGACTATTTTTATGGAACATATTAAAAAATTTGACTGGGACTCGGATCCGCTCTATCCGAAAAAAATTGTTTTCAAATTTCGTAAAAATTTCCCAATTTCTTATTTATTTCTTTTTTCATTCAAGAATTCATTATTTATGGTTCATAAATGGCCGATAAATGAGGAATTTTGAAATGAAAAAATAAAAAATTGGACAAAACTTAAAAAAACAAAATTTGAAAAAAAAATTTGGATAGAATGAATCCGACTCCCAGTCTTGTCTTTCAACATGTTCCGTAAAAATAGTCACTTTGGGTAAAGAAATGAAAAAATCTCCAATCGAAGTGGCGGAAGGGGGTACCATGCAGTTTTCTACTTTTTTCGGCAATTTTAACGCATTTCCGATAATGTGAGCAGAGCACATTCCGTAGCGAACCGGTAAACCAGTTTAAGGCGATTTAGACTATTGGCCAATTTTTAATGAATATCTCGGAACGTAAAGGAGATAGCAAATTTTTTGTAATAACCTTTCTTGCAGAGCGAATTGAGAGCTATAAAAAAGCTTAAAATAAAAATTTCGCTATTTCTCTTAGATTCGGAAATATTCCTCAAAAACTCAGCGAAGAGCTAAGTCGACTTAAACCGGTTTACCGCTTCGCTACTTAATTGGCACCATGATCAATCGAAAGAACGGAAAATTTCTGTCGGAAATACTTATTCAGAACCCGAAAAAAAATGACCTGTGCTGAAACGCAAAATTTTGTCAAAAACTCAGACTTAAAAATTAACGTTGTGAGCGTAAAAAAATTTAAGCCTTTTGAATGATGAGAACGCCATATAAGAATCCTCAACAAAATTAAAATTTTGAAGATACAAAACCATACCAATAATTGGCGAAAACGCCGATATATGGGGCACTCCATTTTAATTTAGCCACTTTTTGTATATTGGAGTCTCAAACAAGGTGATTCGTCCCATTGTCAACCCCCATGTTGCACGAACGACGTTACCGATATGAAAGACAATTCTAAACTGACGTCTGTTCCATGAAAGAACGACTGTCCCTCCACTGGAAGGCCCAGTCTCCCCCCC